AACAGAGGTGGCGTATAAATCCTATCAAACCATTTAAGGCAATTAAGTGTGAGACCAGGCACATGTCTATTCCAGAGCCTGTCTCCTGCCCTACGGAGCGTGCTCCCCTTCCTTCTTCGACAGCAGGGGGAGATAAAGTCAACTTCTAGGTCTTTGATCAGGCTCCTTCCCATCTGAGGTCCCGGCACCATGGAAATGCTTTGGCAGGAGTGGCAGAGCCTGGATGGGTTGACTCATCTAGGAGACAGTCAGCTAGGGTGTGCCTGATGGACGCTCGTAGAGAGGAGTCAGTCACGTGGCATATGACGACAGGGGACTGAGTTGAACCTGTCTTCCCTGGTGCTTCTGCCAGCAGGACGGGTGAGGATCAGCTTCAGAGAGAACCAGCGCCCCGTGGGGCCTGTTGCCGGCCTTGGCATGCCGGGAACACACTGCTCCTTGAGTCTGGCGAGTGAGCCCCGTCCTCAACCTCCAAATTATCTCCATCTAGATCCCCGGGGTTCTGTGCAGAGGGACACCCCAGACACCCCAGCCAGCTTGGCCGTCAACCTCCACTTCCCACTGTTTTCCCACCTTGTGAAATCCCTGGGATCTCGAAGGCGCTTTCCTGTTTCTCACACAATGTCTTAGAGGCCATCTTCATGGTTTCCCCTTCCATCCTTTCTCCTGGAGCCCCACTCTGGCGTCTTAATTGCCATCCTGTGGGCAGGAGAAAAACAGGGAATGGAGGGTGAGGAGCTCTCTTCCCTGAAGTCTCGGTACAGAGCTGTGCCCTCTGAAGGGACCCGGAACATGCTCTCCGCCGTGGGGTGACTATGATCTCGGTGATTTCTAATGTAAGTGCTCCTCCCACCCAAACCAGCGTTCCCAGTAACAGTGGTCTCTTTGTGCCTGCAGGATGCTCATTAGAGATTCTCTGTCCTGGAAACAGAACAGGAAGCAGGAAGGAAGGTCTCTGAGCTTCTGTCTGAGGTTGGCAATGGGTAATTCTCCAGATGGCATGTGCCCCCGTCCTCTTCTCTCGGGCATTTGCTCTCTGGGGCCATAATGTGTCCTTACTGCCTGGCTTCATGCTTTCGTTTTGCTAATATCGCTCAGTTAGCGCATTTAATAAAGGTTTTGTCCAACATTCTCTAGGTACTCTGTTTGTCCATGCTCTTCAGGGAAGCAGGAGAACCAGACAGGAGACTGGGTGTCTAGGGACCTGTCCTCAGCTGACTGATAGCCAGCGAAGCAGGGTGGAAAGTAATGCATTCTTGCCACAGCTGGCCAGCACGAAGGCGTCAGGCAGGCTGCTGACCCTTCCAGAGCCCGCCTGCACTGGGTGGTTGGAGGCCCACACGCTCTCACAGCATCTTCGCCCCCCGAAACCATGGCCCAGCAGGCGTCAGCTGCCCTTCAGGGGGAACCTCCAGGTGCCATCCTTGCGACGTAAGCTCTACCATCTCCACAGAGAATGAGCCCAAGACACATCTGTCCGAACGCAAAGGACAATCTTCGCATGAAGACAAGCAGACTAAACGTGTTCGGGCTTCTACGATTGGGAGGTTTTCTCAGGACAGAAAGATGAAATTCAACTGCCACCTGGCCCAACGTTGGTGGCTAGAGAGCCTGTGGGTCTCCCGCATGCTTGGCCTGTGTCCATGATCACGGGTTCTGAGAGAAATTAGGTCCATGCGCGTGGAAGTCGGAGCAAGATCCAATAGAAAGCGCCATGCAATGCTTTGTGGAAGACTAAGGCGCTGGGACGGGAGACTGGGGGTCACAGCCCATAAACTCCTCAGACTTTGCTCGGTCCCAGCACCTGCTTGGGCCTGAAACGTCAACAGAACACAAACCACCTCTCAGAACTCCAGCTCTGTCATGTAGCCATGACCTGAGGCAGGTCACATCACCTGTGCTTTTAATCACAGAAATGAAAAATGTCTTATAAAAGCACTCGTTGTTATACATAAGTTTTTGGAGAACTTATGCCCTCCCATCCGTCTGCTCACTCTTCTTTTTTGAAGAATTTATTCGCCCCTCAGGGGCATCTGGGTGGCTGTGGGTTAAGTGGGCTGTCTCTAGATTTCGGTTCAGGTCATGATCTCAGGATCTTGGGATCGAGCCCCACGTCGGGCTCCCACTCAGTGGGGAGTCTGCTGGAGAGTCTCTCTCTCCCTCCTCCTCTGCCCCTCCCCCACTCACACTCACTCTCTCTCTGAAATAAATCTTACAGAAAAAGAAAAAAACCAAAAACCTTGTTCACCCTTCAAAAGCAGCTCAGATGTCCCCTCTGCCAACGCCCCCAGGGTTTGTTGGGTCTCCTAGGCCTCAGTGGCCCTGGTGCTTCCCTGATGACGACACTTGCCCTCCATGTTGGGATCTTTGTGGAAATGGCATCTGCCAGAGGCTCTTCAGGTTCCTGCAGCCTGTGTTCTCGGCTCCTGACTCAACGGGACCAGCACTAAATAAATGTCTTGAGTGAATGGCGTCCCCCTGGGTTACAGGAAAATGGAAGCCAGGGGTCGGGTTGGTGAACAGACTCTGAATTCCTCTCGGGGCATGACAGGAGCTGCATCATTTGCGAAATGCAAGGTTTAAATGATCAGGAACTCTGGGTTCACGGCACAAAGGCCATAGGAAGCTAGAGGTGATTTCTCCAAGTGCTCTGTGCATCGCCTTACACGGGGGCTCTCTGCTTCGGGAAACGTCGCACTGCCTTAGAGCCCATCCAGCCCTCCGCTGGCCACTGAGCCCAGAACAGTCCCGGCTCCAACTCAGAGGTGACGCTGTACGCCAGGAAGCAGGAAAGAACACCGGCGCATTTATATTCTAATGGACCTTCATAAGGACAGTGTATTAGAAAACATTTTATGGTTTGGGATAATGTTAGTATTCCTCACCAAGCTGCATTTACAACAGCACACTCTGTCTGGAGTGCGAGGAAGTGTGGGGCAATGCATATGAACTTCAGATGGTGTATTAAGAACTGTGGTAGGTTTATATGCCTCTTTACCATCGGGCTGAGGAATGTGTCAGCCCCTTTCCCCCCCAGCAAAGGAGAGGCCCCTTGCTTGCCCCGATTTATTCCACTTCTAGCTCTGATAGCCCATCTCATAATGAGATGAGCACCTCCAGAACCCAAAGGCACTATGAATCTAGGGTTGCTGTTCCAGAAGAACCAGAGGCAGCAGACCCAGGGAGCCGTGCATTCTAAATGTGGGTGCTCCCCCAAGCCTGAGACAGCCCTGCAAGCTTCCCTCCCGGAGATGGTACCGTCCTCCCGCATGGACACAAGTAGCGCCTCCTGAACTTCATGTGAAAGGACCACCGGGCCGTCCTGGGAAGATGCTCCGTAGGTCTGGGTGGGGCAGGAGAGTCGGCAGCTCTCCTGGGTGTCCCACGATGCCCGCCTCGAGGGCCAGACTCAACACTAGGTGGCAACTGGATCCACATTAGTCTCTTCTGCGGGACTTCTAGAACCATGCAGAGACCCAGGTCTCACCACTTATTGATTAAATCAGAACAAAGATGGAGGTTCTTGAACCAAGGTCAAGATTCTTCTGAAACCTCTCCCTGCCCCAAGTGGTCAGGGCTGAGCTTGACCCAAGGTTCAAGCATTGTGAACCTCTCATTGTCAAAGGTTCTGGAAGATGACCAGATGTCACCTGGTCCAATCACTTTCACTGTTCTCGTGCCCCCTGCACAGCTGGGCCACACACTGAAGGTGATGTGCTGCCATCTGTCATCGAACTACTACTTTCAACACAGGAAAAGAGCGGGAACGCTCTTCCCTCTCTGTACTCAGCCCAGTTCCCGACACACGGTCACGTACGGAACAGGCTGTCAGCATGCTGGCCTGTGAGGTGAGTTTTACTTCCTCTCAGACCCCAAAGGTCGTGAATAAGTAATTATCACATCAAAAGAAAGAAGGGCAGGGGGTCTGAAGCAGTCAGAGACACAACAGCACTGAGAGCTGACTAAAAATGGGGGCTACCGTGGAAAACATGACCAAGAACAAGTCAGTAGAACAATAGAAGCTGCTTCCAGATCCCCAATGGCAAGATAATAAATTATCATTTTCTTTCAGTAGTTGATTGGACTCCATGCATTCAAATTCTGAAAATGGATGATTCAGAGTTCAGACCAAAATAATACACAACTACAGTCAGGTGGTTTAGCATTTTATCCTCATTTTTAACCTACAAAGTGTAAAGCGTTCATAAAATATTTTAATAAATATATTAAGGCTTAAGGTGATCATTGTGTCGAGTGGAAGAGGCAGGACTGCTTTCTAATAGACTAGTTTACACTTAGCACCTTCCAGAACAAAAAGTTGGCCATCTTACAGTGAATGACACCCCATATGAGCTTGGCCCCCGTTTCTTTCTGCCAACATAACACACCTCCGTGTTCTCTTCCTCCCTCCTCCACCATCGGATAGACAAAGAAGGATCCAGATTTTGACAGGTGAAGAGAATGGCGTTGATTGGTGTGACCTGAAATCTTTAGGGGTTTTTTTGTTTTTGTTTTTTGGGGGTTTTTTTGGTACAAAGCTTTCACTGAGTCATCAGACCGTTAGTAATGCAGCTGGCAATTGAGAAAGCCCAACCAAGAGCCTTAAATGCTCACAAGACGGAAGCAAGAATGGCTGCCGGATGTAGAAGGAAGGGGGCCGCGAAGTGTGAGTTTTCCTAGTCTGCAGCCTGGAGCCACTTCCTACAGCAGAGCAGCAAACCGTCCACCGCCTGCAAGGAAGTAACCAGCCAAAGTCGCCTTGGGGGAAAGACCCTTGGGAGGGTCTTTGCCCCAGGATCCTCCCGTTAGGGTCCCAGCATGGACAGGACTCGTGGGCAGGAGTGTCTCTGCACGGTGGTGTCACTGAGCACCTCGAGGCCACCCAGGCGGAGACTCCAGCCCTGGCGACAGATTGCCATGGGTGTCCTCCAATTTAAGCTGGCAGCGCTGGCGACTGCCCACGATGGAGGAGCGAAGGAGCTTTCTTCGAGAAGGGGAGCTGAGGCAGACAGTGTGTCCAGTGGGCAGCAGCGGCCTCTGCTGAGATCCCTTTCTAGATGGACTCCAGAATCCAGTCACTGCCGGAGATGGAGGAGACAGGCAGCGACAGGTCCCTTGGGGAGCCCCGTTCCCTCCCCTCGTAGAGGGTGTGGTGCTCCGGGAAATACTCCTCCTCCTCATCGAAGAAGCCGTTCTCCAGGGCGTAAGTGCTGTCCGGGCTGGACGCGGCCTGGCACGCCCCCTTATACTCCTGAATGGACTCGTAGAGGCTGTAGAGTTGGCAGAGCAAAGACATGTCCAGCTGTCGCAGGCCGACCTTAAGGGAAGGGGTGGAGAGGTAAAAACGAGAAGTCAGCACTTGAGTTTAATTTTAGTGGAACACTCAGCCTGCCGTCTGCCCGTGCCAGCACATTCTTTCCAGACAGTGAATGACTCCAAGCATCCCTCCAGTGCTTTGGGTTTCCAATTTTGAGAAAACCTTAATTGTGGGATGCCCACACCTCAGACGTGACTCAGTGGGGCAGGGAGGGATCACACCTGCGGGGCGGCGGGCCCCGGCCTGCGGAGTTTACCCCGGCATGCGGGCACGCCCTGGGAAGGCACGGAGCAGCACTACTTCGGGTGGCCCCAGCTGGTTTCACTTTGGACGCCAAGATGCAAGTTTGTCATTTCCTCTCGCTGGGATCAGATTCAGAAAGGACCCACATGTGCTTTCCCTGATACCACAATCATTCTCAACTCCCCGGGAACAAGAGTCCCCTTGCCAGTGACAGTGGCTCACGGGTCAGGGTCACACACCCCGCCCCCCGGAGCCCCCGCCCTGACCAGAGCGGCCTCCGGGTTCCCAAGAGTGGTGTTTGGACTCCCTCTCCTCCGGACAAGGTCAGTCGTACCCAGAGATGATTGGGGCATCACTCCCCAGAGCAAGCAATTGAAGAAGTGCACAGAGTCTCCTGGGAACCACTTTCAGCAGTGGTGACAGAACAAAGAACGCTGGGAAGCCACATACTTGTTTATCTTCAAGTTTCCCTCCTCCCATGGCCAGTCCCGCAGCACAGAGCCAAGTCAGCACAGGAATGCACTGTTTCCATCAATCTCAAAGAGAGAAGGGTTAATCCGCTTGGAAATGCAGCCTAGACGATGGCACCAGACACTTGCACACGTATGAAAATCACCTGTGTTTCTTGTGAACCACGCAGCCTCCGGTTTGGCAGGTGTGGGGTCCCAGGTGACAGGGCTGCTGAGCCCTGGTGTGGGGCAGCAGACCTCCCTCCCAGTGGCAAGGGGAGAGACTCGACACCGGAGGCTAGGAGACCTGCCTTCTGCTTCTTGGCCCTTGAGCAAGTCACGTATCATCTCTACCCCTTGGTTGATGACAAAAGGGAATCATAATTTCTCTTATGGGGTACAGGGAGGATTCACTGAGAGATCCATCCATTTTCACCAACAGTCATCAAATGCTACTGGGTGGCAAGTAAAGGGCTAAAGCATGGGAACGCGCAGCAGAAAACAGAGAAAGAGGAGATCTATGGTCTCTAGAATTCCCCAGCGATGAGGTCTGCCGCATGAGACTCACACAGGGGATGCTGGGGTCCAGAAGGCAGCGCTTCTCTCGTGACAAGACAGGTGTTAAAACATCAAGTCATTCTTCACACACTCCAACGACGCTAAACTGCCAAGCAGACAGCGGCCCTCTCCCACAGCCGAGCACACCACAGAAACAGAACAAGGTCCCACTGACTTAGCGTGTTTTGCCATGACGTCCAGGGTCTGGGAGGGCAGACCGGCTCAATGGCATCCCATTCTTGAAAGTAAACCTTGAACAGGGAAAGCCACGGGCAAACCAAGAGAAGCCCAGGCCTGCCACAAACGGGTCAGATGCCACCACTCTCCGTCCCGACTGGTCGTGCGCGTGTGTTGTCAGGAAGGAAAGAGGGTTCCCGACATCTGGGCTGGAAAAACTACCCAGACGATGCTGACGCCCAGTTCCAGCACACAACCCAGCGTTCTTGACACAAATCCCTGCCCTTCCGGGGTCACTTGTATGTATTCTCCTGTGAGCCCTGACTTCCAGGCCAGCCAGACAGAAAAGCACGGAAGGAGAATGCGTTTGGGCCCCGCAGCCTGCCCAGGCGGGCCCATATGCCAGCTCTGCCATGCGCGAGTGTGAGACCGCGGACATCCTGTTCAACTCCTGGAAAGAGTAACAGCTGCTCTGGTGGTTACTACGTTCACGATTCTCTCCAGGCTGCCAGCCTGCAGAATCTCGACCTGGAAAGGCCTGGCTGCTATGGGACTTACCAGGCAGCAGGGTTTTCAGAAACAGCAGTGACCCCGGGGCACCACGTTCCTCCTACGCCAACTCAATCACGAACACTGACCGGGAACCACCCGAGCACAGTCAAGCTAGATGAGAATTAGCCAGCAGACCTGCTTCTTGGGGACCAGGGTAGACACCATAGACTCTCGAATAGGAAAGGACCTCAGAGGTCTCCCTTTCACACCCCCAAACCCTTCCATACCAGTTCATTCATTTCTGGGCAGACATAACGCCTCCCTGCACTAATCAAAATTTCCCAGCCTGTAGTTCTAGGGCCCTTGATGCTACGTGGAACCGTTCCGCAGACCCACACATTTCATTTCCCTCTTAACCGCCTTTTACACATTTGAAGGTAATTTTCATTCCGCCACCTCTACCCACCGGAAGAAACGATCTGTCTTCTCCAGACCATACCTTCAGGCCTGTCAACTCTCACGACGACCTTCTGGCCCATTTTGACCACCCGTCCCTTCCCCTGAACTGGCTCCTGTTTCCCGGGGCTCCTCCAGCGTCCAGATCTGAACCTGGTAACCAGACTGCAAGGTTCTGTCTTGGCAAGGTCACGCCTATCTATCTGTTCTAGGATTTAACACAAGGAATGAAAACCTCAGTGAAGAGAGTCACACCCTCCCAGAGCTGCACTAGTGTTTGCTTAAAAAGTCACAGACTCATGCAACACGGGGTGCAAACTACGCAGGAATTTAAAAAAAAAAATCATAGAAAAGATTCATCTGGTGTCCTGGAGCTATTTCTACTGAGTCACTTGGACAGCCGTAGGGTTGGGCTACCCCAAGCCCATTTCCCACCTTGGAAATGAAGAATGGGAAAACAACAGAAGAGAGAAGGGAGCACTGTGTTCCTGGACCACGTCTGACTCTGTTCCTCTGGGCAGGTTGGGAGTGGGGGCAGGTGACAGCAGGAGCCTGGGCTCCACGGCCCCTGAACTACGCCGCCGGGTTCTCAGGAGCCGGTGTCCTCTGAACGTGCAGTTCCCAAAGCCCTGGGGTCCCTTTCCTCTTCAGGTGCCACATCCAAGGTCTTCCAGGCCTCGAGTTGGATCGTGTCCTGGGTACCCGTCTGCATTGCAGCAACAGATGACTCACAAAGCTGCCCTGTCCTCAGGTGCAACGCTGGCCTAGAAACGGAGGGCTGACCCACCTAGGAAGACAGCTCGGTCCCACGCACGCCCATCAGACAGCAGAGCGGCCGCCAAGCGCTTAGGGTGATTGAGCAGGGATCTCAGCACACGCGTACATGTCTCCGCACATCCCAGCTTCTCGGTCCCTTCTGTGGGCACAGACCAGAGCTCCTCTGCTTACCAGCAATCCTCCAAATCAGCGAGGCGGGCGTGAGGTCGGGAGCAGCAGGAGCCAAGCCAGCTCCCAGCCTGGATGCTTCTCCCCCTCTCCCTCGGCTGTGGCTGTTTCAACACTTGCTCTTAAATTCTCTAGAGGCGCATTGCAAGTCCCGAGGCAAGATTCCACTTCCCCTACCTGCACCTGATGCCGCAGTTGGCTGGAGGTCCCCTCCCCGAGACGGTCCCAGACCTGTCCCCACTGTCTGTCAAAGCCTCCTTGCTCGCCCAGCCCGATGCCAGCTTCTCCTCCACTCTCCGGACTCTGGTTCCGCCGCAGGGGCCACTCACCCCTCCACCTGCTCTGCCTGCCCTATTTATTATTCTCCACCTGTCGCTGCTGGTCAGCACATGGGTCTTCTTTCTTCGTATGCAGGACAGCCCACATGCAGTGGCCCCTCCTCCCCCTGCGATCCCCTAGCGCCCAGCACAGAGCCTTGCCGTGTAGACATGCAGGTACTGGCTGACTGTGTGAATACACGTCTCGGTAGAGACGCCCGCCTAGAGGACATCTAGCTGCAGCGGCAGCCTGGCCGGGGGGCGTGCGGGGACCAGATGGCCCCTTGCTACATCCTGCAGGTGCCTGCAGGGGTGGCAGACCTGAAGAGGCAGCCCTGTGAGCCCAGAGCACCCCCATGTGCCCCCGAAGAAGGCCCCAGACTACATGGTCATTGCCACATTGACAAAAAAAAACCCTCACCTTCTGCTTGACAGAGACCCAAACCCAAGTTTGGGGCTAGAAAGAGCTCCCCGAGTGCTCTTTCTAGAGTCACACTGTCTGCAGCTGGGACAGAGACTCATGAGAGCCCCAGAAATCAGCCTCTCAATCCTAAAGACCCAGGGGTCTGGGAATGTGGGAAGGGCAGAGAAAGGTCATGCCAGAGAATTAAACTGCGAGTTGTTTCACAACATGATTAAATCACCCACAAATGGAGACAATTCCTTCCAGAAAAAAAGGATGGGGTGGGGAACGCCCTCTGCACTAACCCCCACCACTGTCCCGTTCTACAAGTGGGGGAAGCCTGTCATCTCAGTGATGAGTTCCCACATGGCCCTGAAGGACAGCCAATCTGATTCACAGCTGCATTCAGAAAATACAGCTCGTTTTTGGAAGCAGATTTTTAAAAATTCAGGTACTTTTAAGAAAAGTACAGAATTCTAAGATCCTGTCATGTGTAGCCCTTATTCTAGACCTCCAAGACAATTAAGAACAATCAACTAGTTTCCACTGCTTTAAATTGCTAAGGTCATTCCTTCCTCTCTCTGTCTGGGCTTCCTGCTTAACTTCCGGATCATTTTCCTCTCTTTCCCTGGGCCCAGAGCTCGCCTGCCCCTCCTCCCCCGCAGCACAGGTGGCTCATCAACCTACATCTCTAACAATCCTGAATCACCCTCAAAACTATTTCAACCCACAATGGACTGGCCACGCGGATACACCTCAGACGGGGGAGGGGGTGGCTCCCAGCTGGGTTTTGGGTCATTAAGTTTCTGACTATCTTTGGAGGGTGCTGTGGGGGACAGAGTTCTTCCAAACCTTTAAAAAATTACAACAGACACAGGACGATTCAGATACAAGGCCTAGAAAATGGAAGGTACTTTTTAAAAGGAAACTTTGGTTGGGTCCAAACAAAGCATCACGAAA